AGTGGGGTCATCCAAGCAGTAGTTCTGCTCCTTTCGTTGAGAGAGAGTCCAGAAGATATTATTGAGTGATTACTCACCTGTTGGATCTGCTTTTTCATGTTCTTGTTGTGTCTTGTCAGCATGCTTACTTAATGTCTCCACAGAATTTTTTATGGGTTGATTGGAGTTACGAGGCTGTAGTACTTGCACCATGACAATGATGAGCCGTTGTGTTACTGTTTCTTCCAGTACTGCTGATGCAAGAGAGCCAGTTACCAGTTTGTCATGGAAACAGGAGCAGACATGAATTCCCACCTCAAAGGCAGAGATAAGACAGAGATAACAATTACATGATATATAGCTCTTCATCTGTTGTAAGGACTTCTGTATGATAGAAAGCTGACGTTGTCAATAAGAACTGTTATGCCCAGTGGGTAAGTCGTGACCTAAAAAAGCTTTACCAATGAAGTACTGTAAGAGAAGTTCTTTAAGTGCTTTTTAAGGCTTTGTCTATTAAATAAATGAAAATATGGTTACCTGTGCAATACAGCTACCACAGGTTACAGTTCTAATGCAAGTATAGGCATTGAACTTCAGTGAAAGCCACACAACTCTTCTTGGGGTTGCAATGCCTTCTTTTGATCTGCAAACATAGCCCAATAAAGAAAGAAAGAACGAATTCCTTCCCTGGCTCAGTGTATTGTCATCAGAAGAAGGAGGCAGACTTGTAAGTTTTAAACCTAGATTTAAGTTATGGTTATGGCAATTCTTGGACCACCCCAGCTTTGACTTTTCTAAACACTTCATTTTGCTTTATAGTTATAATGTTTAGAATTTGTTACTGGTGTTAGTAGCTGCAGATCTACTTATTTATATCGTGCTCCTGCGTTTACATTTCACTCTATCAGTTAAACTTAAACCAGTTCACACAATATGTCAGAAGTATTTTGTGTTAAGGTGTTTATATTTACAGGCTCAATGACTTCATTAGAATTGCTCTGGGTCTGCAGTGGCTGTAGCAAATCAAACCATGGTTCACAGACTTTGCATAGCAGTTCACAATTAATTTGTAGTTCTTTTAATAGACTTCTTTATTGTACATAAAGAATGCAAATGTGCACGACAACCTTTTTTTTTTTTTTCTTTTCTATTAAGAAAGTCTGTCATCTTCCTCTTTGGAACAGTGTAATTATAGGGATTCTACCCCAGCTATCAACTACAGGATTTGTATTTGAATTTTCAAATAGACTTTACATACAGGTTTCCAGGCATGATTTTTTGTCAGCATTTACTTAGCTAGAGATTTTACCACTGAAAGAAACTCAGGTTTCACAGAGGTCTGTTGTGTTTGCTTATTAGTAGAAAATAAGCAGTAAACCCACCTTGTTTACTCTTCAGAGACCCATTACTATAGTACATGCGGACTCCACAGCCCTGGGGCATCTGTGTTTGTACTCATCTAAGACTGAATCCTAATATTTGAACATCTTTGTTGCCATCCTCCTACCTACTATTTAAAATCCTTTAGGAAGAAGACTTTCAAAACACCCCTTGGGGCAAGACAGTATGCCTATTTAATTGAATAATTTTGTTGAGGCAAAGAGCTTGACTGCCTCGCCTGAGGCTGCATGTTTCTCTTGACTTGAAATTGTCTGTACCTTTCCACTACTTGCTTTGCATCCAAACTTGTTGTGTAAGGCTAGCAATCCTTAAACAGCAATTTGAGAAAAATGGAGGATTCACCCTGTAAGAACATTAAGTTTTCTTAGGAAAAAAAAATCAGTCTGCTGCATATACTGATATGTGAATTTTCCCATTCTATTCTTTTAGGTCTGTTTTCAGGGCAGGCACCTTTCCCCATGCTCAGCAGCCACTCCCAGCATTCCCATGCCGGCACCTCCTGCTGACAGCCAAAGCCTTAACGTCAAGCGGCAGCTCCAGCTCCTGACTCGGCACCTTCGCTCGGCAGCCATTCCTTTGGCAGGCAGAGGAAGGAGCCGGAGGCACCCGCACAGCCCACCCTGCTTGAGAATCAGATTTCTGACAGAAAAGCTTTGTTCTTGGGCACAAGTATGAAAATCAGCTTGTTCAGGTATTTCTGACTCTACTGGAGCTCCAGCTCTGGGTCACGTTGTGCCAGGAGCTGTGTAATGGCTGGGGATGCATGGGGTTAGAAACGCATGTGAGTGCCTGTAAGCTCACGTTGGCGGGGAATTGCCCTTATTTCTATGTATGTCTTGTTTGAATAGACCAGCTGCACCCTACATCTTATCTAAATACAAAATAAGGCCCACGGTTTCCAGTAGCTTCCTCGTCCCTTCGACCTCCCACGTTCTCTTTTGCCAACTGGAAAATGAAACCAGAATGTTATAGTTGGAGAAATTGTTCTGAACTTGTCATACTAACTTTTTGGTACTGTCTCAGGATACCTGAAGTCTAACTATTCAGTCTGTGGGGCATCTACAATCTTAGCTGAAGCCTGGGAAAGTTAGTACATAAGACCCTACTACAGCTTCAAGAGGAGATCTAGAGACAGGCAAGATTTTAGGCTTTGCACTAATGTTTGCTTTATTCATTGTTGAGTTCTCTCACATTTAGAGTTTTTGTATCCTTTTTGAAAATTCGTACATTAAATTTGAACTAGTGTTAGGTTTCCCATATCAGGATCCTTTAAAGAAAAAATTCCTTTTAGACTATCTCAAAGTCAGAAATGTTTAAATTATGTTTAACTTATGCTGAGAAAGAAGAACTCTGAGAATTCTCTTAATTTTTTTTAAGAAAAATGCAAATATTTCAGTAAGAACTCATATCATATCAAGAATCATATCAAAAGACAAGTAAAAATTTTAAGAGAGCCTTCACTAACCTCAACAGGCATCAGATCATGCTCATTTACAAGAGACTCTAATGGTCAAACACAGAACATTTGTACGTTTCAGTACTACAGAAAGGTGCCAATAACAACAAACCTATTGGGTAGATGATAAACTTGTCCATGCTGAGGTCAGTGCTTGCAGGCGGAGCCTACATACCTTCTCCACTGACAATGTCTCAAGTACACATGCTGAGCTACTGTCAGAGAGCCGGCACATCAGCTTAAAATTCAGTGCAACCGTCAGTGCTGTGCAAGAAATGGAACAAATAGCTGTGTGATTTAGCTCTTGCTCCTGCGGTTTATTTGCTGTTGGCACAGTTTCCAGCTGATTTAAAGCAAGCCCAGGTACGGGTACCTGACCTGCTATTGCAGAACTAACAGGTAGACATGACCTCCTCCCCACTCCTGATTATACAGCCTCCAGGAGTCCTCGGGCACTCTCATGATCTACTTCAGCCTTTTCACCAAAGTTGCAATTTTTTTTCTGTCCTAGTAGTTCTTATTTTTTATTCTGCTTGAACAGATCTGTCTTCTCCCCACCATGTATCCTGCTATTACAATTATTAGCATTTCACTGTATTATTGTACTGTGTTCTTTCAATTTGCTAGAATACAGAAATTTCTTATTAAAACTTTATCTCCAGATACTATATTTTTTTGGCTACCAAACTTGTTTCAGTGCATTATTGTCAAATGCATATATGATTTTTCATCTTTTTTTTCTTTGTGATTCTTTTTCTGTGTAAAACAATGAGACCTAGAAAGACATAACACGACTTTGATGCTGCCTCCCATTAAGAAAAGTACAACGTAATGACTAAAATGCACATCACAAAATTCTAAATGACTCCATGCATGAGATCTTTATTACAGATAACTTTATTCCTTAATTAATGACTTCCAGACATAGATCTATAGTCTTAATGTACAAAAATCTAGTTCTCGACAAAGGTATATTTTTGTTACAAATTATGTGAAAGAGAGATTAAGTTATCTGGTATTTGTTAGTTGCAATATAGGGAGTAGCTGCTTGACACTTGTAAATCTGATGCTGTTTATCAAGTTATCACGGTGCTTTGCTTGGGCTTTTTCTTTTTTTTTTTAATACTGCTCAATCCTACAGGCATCTAGTCAGATAAGTAATTTTACTGATAGACCTCTATAGATAAACCTAGGGTTCCAGAATTACAGACATTTAAAATGTAATGAGGAGAAGCCACAGTGGGGAAAAATAAAAAAGAAAAGAAAAAAAAAAAAAGCTGAACCTGTTTCTTTAAAGTAAGAAAGGATATAAAACTGGAATCTTTTTATTCTAATCCACTTAGTAGCATGCTGTTTGATGACTCTAAGTGATAATGTACTTAAATAGTTAATTCAAGGGTTAATCCTCCTCTAAAACAGAGCTGGAAACAAAAGCTGAAATGACTTTTTGAAAGGGAGGGACGGGAGGAATTCTGACCCTTCTCCTGATGCTTTAAATCGTGAAATCATGAAGCAATTGAGGAAGCAGTGCACGGCACGTGGATTAAAATGCTTCCTAGAAGCAGCCAGTGCTGTACACTGCCTCAACCCTCGCTGAACTTTCTCAGTAAATAGAGCAGGCTGACAGCCCGGCTTTCCCACTGGGTGGATCCTGCAACTCCAGGAGGGAATGGCACTTCTTGTTTTTAATTAGCAAAGGTGAAAGGTGAATTAAAACTAGCTGTTTGGCAAGTCAGAGCAAGGGGCTGAGTTCTGAAGAGCACCAAGGAGGAGGGTGCTTTCTTCCTTTTTTTTTTTTTTCCCTCCCTCCTTCTCTGAATGAATTGCCTTGCAGGAGGGACGGAAAATACAGCTTCTTCCTGAATCCACTGGCAGTTACTAAAGAGAGCTCAAGACACAACACTGCAGAGTAACGCCTTGGAATGTCCTCGCACTTTATAAACAATTATCCTAGGGAGGGAATATTTTTACATGACATTTGCACAGCTTGACAAATGGCTAGCTGAGGCTGTGTGCTTCTCTGATAAACGTTGAATTTCCCATAGAGATACCCCACAAACTGACCAAAGAGAGAGATCTTACTGCACTGGGAAATTAGGACTGGAACTTGGAGCCTTAAAAAAACCCAGCAAAACAACAAACAAACAGAAGCAGTTAAGTGAAGAGCCCAAGAATTTGATCTTGGGCAGGATGGCATCTGCCCAGGACCTTTTATTCCTGGCACTATATGGCTTGTTACTAGAGGTACCGACGGGATGTCATGCAACAGATACGAGGCAGCCAAGGTTACGTCTGTCACATAAAGGTAGGTCAGTGTGTCAGGTTTTTAAAGACTTTATGCTAATGCAAGTTCATTGACTTCACTGAAAGTGTTGCATTGGGGTTAAATTATGGTCCTTTCCTGTTCAGAAATCTTGTGAACTGTTTCCTTGTACTAGACTGCATCCATAATTAAGTTTACTGAATTCAGGAAGATTTAAAGCACTAACAGTGATGATTTGAGGCTACTGAAATGTTCTTTTAGCTGAAAGCGTGTTAGATTTACTTGTCATGCTGTCTTAGCCTCCACGCTGCAAAAGGGATTTCTGGTCTGTAATGAGAGAAATGGGGAAGATAACCTGAAATCATTGCTGAATAAATATACTCTTATGCATCAAGTAATCCTTAAACAATTAAATGTCTGTTTCACTTTTAGAATTCTATCTATCTACAAATATAGCTAAGAGAAAAAGACTGAATTCCTGTGCAACCATATGATTCATTTTCTAAACTAGCAAGTGTCATCACACTATAATTAAAATGACTAACTGCCAGTGTAAGTCTGCTTGCAGTTTAACTGAGTTACCCAAAGCAAAAAAATGTTATTTTTTCTGACACAAGTATGTAGAGTACTTATAGCTTTGTTTTCTGTGTTAAATTACTTAAGTTTCAGTTTACCTGAAGCATGAATGGTTTTTCCTCAGCCCCTTCAGAGTATCTCCTTGTTCAGTTCTGGATTGCATGATTTAAGCTCTTCCCTATGATTTGGGTTTAATGCTGTGTGTGTATAAAAATACCCATGCACAACCATGACATTTCAGTTCTCTGCAGCAGTACATACATTTGTAGATCATGTACTTCGAAATATATGACAGGCAGTTATTACAGTAGGAGTGAAAAAATGTATGTGTGCAAGATAAATTTATGATTGGCCAATCAGTAATGTTTTTAGATTACCTCTTATGCAAAGATGAAAAGGAAATGTTTTTTGCTGACATAGTTGGGAATGAGCAAATGTTAATTTACTCAAGAACTTTCTGTGGTTATGAAAGTGATAACTAAGCTGCATCAGTGTGAAGTACATTACAATATCTATTTTAAGTATGGCTAAAATTTAAGAATAGCATCAGCTACAGCTCCACGTGTAGATGGCTTTAGTCTAAACAAGGTTTAATTGTGTTTTATATAGCAAGCTAAATTACCAATTATAAAGAAAAGACAAGCTGAATAGGATAATTGGTCTGAATGTTTTGCTAGGAAGCTATAAGAAATGGGGTTTGCTTTTATAGGGCAGTGAAACACATTTTAAAGAAAGTAAGATTTGTCATGGAAAGCTGTCTTGTAAGTAAACAATTTATTGCTCTTGGTGAAATAAATTGTATGATCCCTTTTAATATATAAATCACTTCTTTTTTAACCTATGGTTTCAGAGTACAGTAGGAATGAGTGACAAATACTGATTATATAATCCTTTCACATATCTTATTGTTGAAAATTTGCATTTGAACATTGATCTATTTCTAGGTATAATTATTAAAGCTATCATTATTATTTGTTAGCATGTGATGGGGTAAGGGAAATGAGAAAAGCACAGTAAATGAGGCAGACCTACGGCTACGTTGGTTCAGTACTTTGGTTTAGCTGCCAGTTTTGGCAAGGTCCCCACTATGGTGCTGTGACTATTAACTGCTTCTGTGCTCACTTGTAGAAATAATTGTGTTTCCGCTGGTTGGAATCAGTGTACATTTCACTGCATACTACTTCCATTTTCAGCAGGGAGCCAATCATTTGGCCATAACACATCATAACTCTGATATGTTCAAGGAGATTTTAAAACACCCATTTCTCACAGAGGGCCAAACCTCCCCTGCCTGATGTCAGTTTGCTCAGATCCAATGACACAGGAAGATCTGGCTCAAGTAAATTCTCTACCATGAATACACACATCACCATCTTATATTTCACCGTGTACAATACCCTCACATTTTTCACACTTATGAAACGTGACTGATTTTACAAGCTGTGTTGCAGTCAGTGAGTGCATGACCACGTGTTCCAAGCCAAAGGTTAGAAATGACATACCTGTCTGCACCCTGGGAACAGCTATTGCAATCCTCCCAGCCAGAAGAATGTAGTGACCAAGCATGAAGACAATGAGTAAATGTTGTTGCTGTATTCACTAATCAAACAGGAACAGCAGGAGGGTCCCTCATCTTAATTGCATTTACTGCAGAGAGAGGCTGCTGTGGGTACCAGCTAGGCTTGGGGTAATGAGGAGGTGGCAGTGGTACACCCTATTTAGAAAGCTGCTCCACCCTATCCTGTGAGTTGCCATTTGGTACAGATGATGAAACCCATACGTGTAAATTTTTACTGTGAAGTAGCTGTAAATTCAGTTAGAAATTTCACTGCAAAGACCCTGAAACATGAAAGTAAGTAGACTTGCTCTCTGCCTCACTTTGTAACTGTGGATGCCAGTGGTTAATTGGGATTCAGGCCGCTGCAAGATAGGCTAGTGCTGACTGGTAAGTTAAAAGCTTCTGTGATGAGTATGATGAGCTTTATGAACATGAGATTTTTCTGTATTGGAAGAAGTATTTAAAACTGTCTGTTTAAAAATCTTGTGACTTTAAAGAGCCAAGAGAAGGCTTCCAGAAATTAGAAAAAGAGATTCTGATTTTTATAAATTCAAAAAATTCTCTTTTTCTTTTTTATCTTTAAAAGTGATGCTCAGTGAAAATATAGGGAACTGGCAGTGAATGAGAACTTTTTGCTTTCACAGCACACGAGGCTTCACCTGCAGTGCACACATGCTTCCAGAACTACTGCAACAAGATCAGGTCCTAACCCTTGCACAGAGGGGTCACCTGATGGATAGGAATACCACAATCCCCTTGCCAATTAAGGGATATATTGTAGAACTCCTGTTTGACTCTATGACCATTTACTTGGCTTCAGTGGGAGTTAATGAAAGTCCTGCATTCTTGAACTACTGTTAAACCTGTCAAGCTAATGGTGATTTTTTTGTAAGTTAGAGGATGTTCTTTATTCACAGTAAACTCAAAAATGATAATTTTGCCATTCCTTTATATGGGATTGGAATTAATCCTGCAACTACCTAACAGTCATTTTATGGTTCTAACTTAATTTTTAGTAAGCTGAATTATACTTATATACAGGACTTGAAGGTGTTTTCCTCAAACCATCAGCTTGTGTCTATCAGAAAATTTACACTGCAATTAGTACCACTTGTGGTTTCAGTGGTATGGTCACACTAAAGGTCAGGCTTTGGTGATGACCAACAAAGATGTTGCTTGGGGTGATAACATACTCCAATAGCTTCACGTTGCTTTGTAGAGATAAAATTATATTATCGCTTGCTCAGTATTACAGAGAAATAAATGTACACATTATTAAGTTATAGGTTGACAACTACATTTAAAAATCATTAGCTCATTTTACATACAATACAGGCTCTGCCTAATGAGGTGTTAATGGAAGCCAAGCTTCAGCCCCTGTTCTTTATAGGCTGCTGCTTAAATTCTTTCCCAGTATCCCACAGTTTGAGTTCTCGCAATGGGAAGTATATAATTAAGGTGAAATCAGCACACACTGCATGTTAAAAAGAAACTATTTACATTAGAGATTGAAATGGATTGGGTTTCCAGAGGACAGGAGGGATATATTTATACAAGTCTAACAGAGCCACACTAGAAGTATGTAGGCCTGAAGAGCCCATGAAAGATGTAATTGTGTAATTCGAGCATTACACATAGTTTGCAGTGTGTTTCTAACTGTTTGGGTTTTGGGTGGGTTTCCCCTCACCCCGCCCCCCCAGTTTGTGAATATGGTAAAGAGCAAAGGTATGAAAATGAGAGGCTGAGCCCTTGCAGTGGTCTGCATGATTTTGTTGCTGCAATGGGATCTGGTATATTTTGTTATGTGCAGAGATTTGCAGATCTTGAGGGATCTGTTTTCTGTTTTACCCATTTATATTGCTCTTGCGTGACGAGGGATTTTGGCATCACCTGATCTCAGGTTATGTAGCTATGCACTGCACACTGTTGTTGTCTGGAAAAGGTATGGTTAAGTACCAGTTGTGCCCATCTTATTTAACCAAATATCCACCTTTTACCTGCTGTGGGAACTGCTTGCTACTTTCTGTAGTAGAGTCAAGATGCAGCAGGCAGAAGGAGCAGAATGAATATAGAAGGAAATCATCTGGATCAGAAAATTTGTTCTCCAAGCATAAATATTTCACACAATAGCAGCAGACAACTAAAGAAGGGAGAGGTGAAATGTTGCAGAAGAAAAGTGATATTCTCTGTGTTCATATACAGATTTTAATATATAGAATGTGTAATATAAATATAAAGGAGCCGGACTTTCAGCATACCTACTTTAACTTTCTTGATAGCTGTAATTTAGAATTCAGTTTAACACTAAGTATTTCATCATGCTCACCCATGATACCTTACTGTGTCTGTCCTCTAGCTAGGTGGCAGCAAAATTTACTCAGGGACTAATGACTAAATTAAATAACAAAGGGAATTTTTAGACAGGCATTTGTGAATTCTGAAGCAAGTAGAGATTTAATGCAAGTATAGTACAATTAGTAATCACCTGACCTCATAAATCATGGCTAATTAATGACTAGCCACACAACCCATAACTGAATCATGACTGATTCAATTTCATGCACAAAAATGTTTTCTATTATTAGCAGCTTTCACTGCAGTAGAATTTTGGTTTTAAATGCCTAGAAAATATTAGTTTTCCTACAGAGGCAAATTCAAATTCAAGAAAGATGTTAACTCATGCTATGTAAAAAAAACCACCTTGTACTTGTACCAGAATAAGGATTTGGCTTGTGGTCTATGCTTACACATAGTCCAGAGAAGTCTGAATAAAAAAATGATAGATGATTATGTATATACACATATATATGTGTGTGTATAAAATTTGTGTGTACATATGCAACAGATTGAAGTTTGGATTTTTCTTACAGTGAATTAAAGAACAGTATAATTCCAAGGGTTTAGGAAC